TCAGAAGTTTGCTAGACTTCAGTACAAATCTGGTAAATCCTAAAGGGAATTCTGATTCGTCCGTTTTCTAACAGACGACTGGTTGAATCTATCAGATTTCTTTTTCAGTGCAGGGATAGGCAATTCGGCGCAGCGCCCCGCTGTACCTTGCCTCTGATGCTAGAGTAATCTACAGTCGGGACAGGCCCGTGCTCCTTCTCCGGCAGGTGGGCGATGGTTTGCGAGATGATGGGCCCTGCGCCCGACATAGTGTGTCCAGCAGTGGCGCGGCCCGGTGAGTTCGCAGCGGTGTTGCTGCCCGTGTACTTCCTCGCGCGGCTGCTCGTCACCGATTATCTATCGCTTCTGTATGCACGCATCGGACATTTTCCAGTACTTGAATCCGAATCGCTTTCCATAGGCCGCTCGCGTGTACATAACTGTGGCACTTGGGATTTGTTTTCGCTTGCACCCACGGACGAGATCCGACGCTCAGACGCTCCAGCCCATCCTCGTCACCTGCAACGACACCGGGCGTAGAGGTAACGCTCGCCCCTGACTCGGCCTTGAGTTTATTTTAGAATCGGGCATTCGTTGCCTCATTATTTTTATAAATAAGCACGTGGAGGATCAATGGGGCAGCAGAGGGAAATGTTCATTATTCGTATACGAATATTGGAGTATTACGTATCGGCCCACGAGCGGCCAGAGGGTCAATTCTGTGTCTTACGCCGCGACGAAAATGTTAAAAGCGAGTGGCCTCGTCTCCACCTAATCTGTTCCCTTAGAAAGAGACAAAGCCGCTCGCTTTTAACATTCCTAAGCCTAATCTACACTGCGCTCTCCGCGTCTAGAATTCTATTTTGTAGCCGATACGTTTTAAAAACTGTGCGCAAGTTGATAAAATGTACATACATTACGCATTGTATAATCGTGCATCGTTGACAAATTTTCGAAGCGTTTTCATCCGTTCGCGTGAAGTGGGATGCCTCTAGACGCAGAAAGCACATCGTAGATCAGGCCTCGCTATATTGCAAGATTGACCCCCCCAGGATTTCATCAGCCGGATAATTCACGCGGCTCGATTCATTGCCTCATTCGGCGCAACGCGATCGCCGATCGTACGATCCCGATTCCTCGCTCAAGGATCGCAGAGGTCGGCGGGGAAGGCACGAAGAAAAAAAAATAGCTTGCTGTCTCGAATATATAACAAAAAGAAACTGATGCGCGTGCACGTTCTTTTGTACTTTTCCCCGTCACCTGGTCCCGGTACAAGGATCGCTTATCGGCCGACCGAGCCGCTGACAGGCGGATTGTGCAACTCCGCGGGTGTCGGGAGCGACAACATATTGTTGTCCGCGCGGGATCAAAGGGTAACCGAAACGCCCGGGACGAGGATCCCTCGAATAAAGGGGGGAGGCAGGGACGCGAAGAGTCTCGCTTCTTCCCTCGCGTGAGAGCACTGAGAGCCCGCGAGCTCCTCGCGGCCGAGACGTAGACGCGCGCGCGCGCGAGAGAGAGAGAGAGAGCAAGTTTCTCTCCCCGCGTGGCGAGATGAAGTCGGACAAGTCCGAGGCCACGTTAGATTATTCGCGACGTTTCCGCGTCTGAGAGGGATGTATTTACCTGTTTAAAAAAAAAGAAGGCGAGAGAAGACGCGCACACGAGCGCTCACGTCGTCACGATTTCGAGCGAACTGACGTGACGACTGTAAAACGAGTTGGTCGACGGTGCGCTCTTGCGGGCTGCTGTCAACGATTCTGTATGCGTGTCGGGTGTGTGTGTGTGTGTGTTCGCTGCGCACGCACGAGAGGTGGACACGATATATGACACTTGGATAACTCGTGCTTTACGTAAGACCAGCCAATCGCGGGTGAAAGGGGACCAATGAGACCGACCGCGACTACCAATCGCGTCGCGTCGCGTCGGCCGTCGCCGGGCACTTCGTTTCCGCGTTCTCTGCGGTATGTCCGGGTATGTCTCTAGGTATACCGCATTCTTTAAAGTTCATGCTTAATCTTGATTGAACACCGAACTTGATTAAACTCTTTCAAGAGCTGAATTTATGAAATTTCCCCTTAACGGGGAAACGTCGAACCGAGGACCCTGCCATTGCTAATCGCTCGTTTTAGCACAGAGCTACACGTCATCCCTATATATATATATATATATATATATATATATATATATATATATATATATATATCTATATAAAACGCGCCGTATTTGTAGGTTATGTTACGCTCGTATGTTGGAGAAGTAACGTCCGCAGTGATCTAGCGTTCCCAGGCAGCAAAATGTCCGGGCGTAAGAAGAAGAACAAGAACAAGATGCTAGAGAGAAGACCGCGGCATGTGCTCGGCAAGGAGGAGAGGTACTATCGCGAGGGCGGCGAGGACCCCGGGGAGGTTGTGGACGACAAGGCAGGTTAGGCAGGACGCGTCATCGCCGGGATCTGGCGCTTTGTAATGACCTCGCGTGAATTTGCAGAGGTGAACGAGCAGTTGGTCCAGTTCCCCGTGGCTATGTGGGACATGGAGCACTGCGATCCCAAAAAGTGCTCCGGCAGGAAGCTCGCGAGACACGGCCTGATAAAGACCCTGCGACTAGGCGCTCGATTCCCAGGCTTGTGTCTAACTCCGATCGGCAATAAGGTAGCCGGGGCAAATTTCAATTGATATAGGAAACAAGCAAGTGAACGGACTCGCGAGATTAAAGATTACAAAAGATTGAGGCTACGAGAGTCAATCGCGGAAGATGTGTTGTGATTGACTACTCGAGTCGCGACGTGTCTTTCGCACGATCAGCTTTGATTTCACTCCGTAGTGTTTGAACCTTTAGAATCTGCCTATGCTCCTTTGACTGCTGGACAAGAATCTAGTCGTTGATCTTCTAGTTGAATCGAGTTGGACAATCGTCTACACGAATCGGACACAATACTCTCGGTCTACAATGGAGCACACCTTAGCGTACTCGTCGTTTAAGACGGTTAAAACTTTTCACGGAAACGTCCGGAACTTGTAATCAAGAATTTTATTTTAATCGCATTGACATGCACTAATAACCGCGTTTGGCTCTCGTAGCCTAAATCCTTTGTAATTAATATAGATTGATATATGTAGATGCCAATGACATTGCGTTATAGTGCGTGAGCCCGACGGATCGCGATATCGTACGCGAGTACGGATGTGCGGTCGTGGACTGCAGCTGGGCACGCCTGGACGACACTCCCTTCAACAGAATGAGAACGCCCCATCCTCGTCTACTGCCATTCTTAGTCGCTGCCAATCCGATAAACTACGGGAAGCCCTGTCATCTGAGCTGCGTCGAAGCTATTGCGGCTACCCTGATTATAACGGGATTTCCGGACGAGGCCAATCTCTATCTCGGAAAGTTCTCGTGGGGACACGCGTTCCTGGAGTTGAACGAGGAGCTGTTGGAGAAGTACGCTCTCTGCACGAACAGCGAAGAAGTTATCGCGACACAGAAGGAATACATAGAGAAAGCCCAGCAAGAGAGATTATTAGATAAACTCGGTGAGGACATTTAACAATCCCACCCTCCCACTCTCCCCTGTCTCTGTCTCTCACAATCGTTCTAGATTTTCTAAATGGAGAATCCAAGTTTACTGGTGCAGTCACTTTAGCTTGACGATACCTTGTGTTCCTTTCACCTTACGAGCGAATTTTCGCTCCATCATTTTCCAAACATTTACAGAATGACTGTCATATAATATATTGTATAACTGATCTAATAACAATATTATATACCTGCAATACATAAGAATTTACATCTTGTGTATTGCACTTAAAATGGTATTATAAATATTATATTAATCTAAATTTTCAATAATTGGAGCACTATTTTGCAACAGCATATTCTTGAGACCAAATCAAGTAAAAAAAGTCCCATACTACTTTTCCCTCCGACAAACAGTTATCGAGATATCATAAGCTAAACATTGAAAAAGTTATAAATTTTCTCTTGAACTACTGGCACCATCTTATGTCCCCCCTTCGAACCAAACAACTTTTGTTTGAAACGTTTCGTATCTTTCACATTTTTGGAGATATTTGCGTGGATCATTTAAAATGAGACACCCTGTATATTCTGTCTGTTATAACCAATTGTGTGGACTTCTAAATACGAGAGAAACTGTTTAGGTCTAACTCCAGCTAGATATATACATAGGTATATACCAGGGTTGGGAAGTAACTCGTTACTTTTAACGAAGTTACAGTTACTTTTTTTTGGTAACTCTAACTTAACTTCGTTACTTTCTCTTCATCTGTAACTGTAACTTAACTCAGTTACATTTTTCGATAACTAGTAACTAATAGTTACATTAATAGCTATTCTATATATTTTTTAAACCTTCACAGATTGCATCAGGCCTTGCATTTACGCATAAACGCCTTTATCGACGCTTTACAATTCAAATGCAGATTTGACATTTTTATTTGCATTGCAAGAAAGTAACTGCAAAGTAACGATTCGTTACTTTTTAAGTAACTGTAACGCGTTACTTTTCAGAATTGGTAACTTGTAACTGTAACTAGTTACATTTCTAGCGAAGAAACTGTAACTGTAACGAGATACTTTTATAAAGTGACTTTCCCAACCCTGGCATATACATACGTACGTATTTATATACATATATGTATGTATTCTGTCATTGTAACGCATGATACATAAATCTCTCTCTCTCCCCTTCCCTCCTCCTCCCCTCTCTCTTTATTTTAATATCTTTATACATTTGTTCTCAGCGCTTCCTGATCTTCCACAAAGCGACACGGAATCTGAGGAAGAGACGGAAGAGAAAGACGGGAACGCGGTATCAGAAATAACCGAGGAACTAGGCGATATAAAAGTGTAGTAACATAGCGTACAATTAAAGATACTTGGCCTTCTAGGCGAGATTCTTCATTTTGAATTTCCAACCGCCAGAACGTCGATCGTGAATCTTTTTTCTAGTGCAAACTCGTGCAAGGCGCAACATTTTTTTATTAACAAATTCAACATTGAAGAATGACTTGATGCCAGCACATGACTGAGCATGATTGAGCAGTTAATCGACCACTGGCGACGTGTTTTTAACACAGAAAATTATAATAGTTATTTATGCACCTAGACCGAAGAATGGTGTCTAAGTGGGGGGAGGATAAGGTAAGGGTAATACTTAAAAATCGTGTTTCGATAGCGCTGTGTTCAACCGACAATCCGTATCGGTGCGCAGTTCACAGAGTCGAAGACATACGCGTAGACAACGTCTGTTATTGCGACAAATATTATCATATGTCTCGGCGATCGAATTGATTGAGATGCCCGCCTAGTGTGCGGGGGAGGTCCAGGTTCAAACCCTGGCTGAGGTAATGTGTTGATGTTTTTCGCAATCAATTTTCTGTGTTAAAAACACATCGCCAGTCATGGTCGATTGACTGCTCAATCATGTTAAATTCAACATTTGTCGATAAAAATTTTGCACGAGTCCGCGCTCGAGGAAAAGATTCGTGATCGTGTCTCACGACACCACTTATATCTTACATAACGAGAATTCTGAGATTTGTAACAAAAAAAAAGTACGTTGTACAGTAGAGGAGGAATGGAACGGAAAACGTTCAGCGTTCAAACGTTCGTAGAATCGGTGTCCTTGGCGCGAATTCGGCAGAATTTAGGCGGCGATCGGGAGCTCGATTCTTGAATTTACTTAAAAAGAGAAACGTGTGCGAAAATTCTGCTCCTGCGCGAAAGTTGCGGGTCGATCGGCTGAAAGCTACCCAAGGAGAAGAAAAAGTCAGGATGATGTCAATTTGATGTCATATTGACCAAATTTATATCAAATCTTGGCGAGTAGCCAACTTTTCCGTAAGAGCAGAGTTTTCGCGTACGCGTCTATTTCGACCGAATTCGGGAATCGAACCCCAGGGGGGGGCCTCTATTCCGTGCAACGCGGCCGCCGACGACTATCGGTATCGTCAACGACGTTTGCGCGGCTTTTCAATCGTGTAAAAAAGAAGAAGAAGAAAAAAGAGTTACGCAAACGTCGTTAACGACACCGATAGTCGTCGGTGACCGTGCACGGAACGCGGGGGGCCCCCGGGGGGGGCTCGTCGATTCCCGCGTCACAGCGGGAGCTCGTCCAATTGGCGCCGGGTCTCGGCCGGTCGACGATTGGTCGGCCATCGTTGTACGCCCGCGCGCCAATTGGAGAACCGATCGCTCAACCGTCGCGCTTTTTTGAACGCAACGACCTTGCGCTGGTCATTCCGTGCTCCGTGATCGACAGTATCGCAGCGCTTCGAGTCGCGGGCGTCACTACTCGCGGTGTTTACGGCGGGACGGAGGGACGCTTCTATTTTTCTCCTCGCGCGATAAACTGATAGCGCGGGGAGGGTTGGGGGAGAGAGAGAGAGAGAGAGAGAGAGAGAGTGGAACGTGCGGGTGACGGAGCGCAGCGAGTGATCGACGATGTCCGGCGGCGGGCGAGCGAGCGCCGCGAGATGAAGTGGCGAGCGATGCCCGACGAGTCGACGCGCGGCCGCCCTTTATCTGAAATGTGTCGCTCTTATCGCGGTAGGCGCAAGTAGCAATGTTCTGCGCGCGGATAAACGCCTCTCGCCGCTGACTAAACGCATAACTAACACCGTACAACACCGCACGCCGCTTGGTACCGCTACAAAAACCACCGCTGTCCCGCCCCCTCGGTTAACCCGGCGAGCCTGAAAAAAACCCTCCGAGCAAACGTTTAACGCCTGCCGCTCGACCCAGAACCCTCCCCGCGCGCGCTACGGGCAGCCTCTCTCAAAAAGCTTTCGATGTTTGACAGCTCCGGCCACGAGAGCGTGGACGCTAACGCCGCGTGATTTGTTATGCACTTCGAGACGGAGGCGGCGCAGAGGCACTTGGCGTCAAGCATGTACGTACCGTCCGCATCCCGCATGATCCGCCTGGTAGCGGATGACAGCGCGAAGGCGGCCCGCCGCAAGGCTCAGCGCACTGTTCGTTTCATCCTCGACACTGTATCTCACTCACTCACTCTCTCTCTTTCCCTCTGCAAACAGGAACAAATCCGTGGAGAATCTGTTGATATCCAGCCACGAGGTGATCAGCAGCATCAACTCCTCGGGTCTGGGCAACCAGGGCGCTGCGACGACTCTGGGCAGCGTCGCAACCGAGAATGCGCAGGAGACACTCGGCTCCAGCGTCGAGCGCAGCAGCCCCGTGTCAAGTCCCAACCTGTCCCCGCGTCCCAGCCCGAGAGCCCACTCCAGGCGGGAGTATTCCAGATTGAATTCCGACTCCAGCGTCAAGGAGTCGCTGCGCGCCAACAAGTCGGACGACCAGCTGTCGCAGGTGCGCGCCGACGACACCCGGCGCATCTCCGACAGGGAATCGCCGTGTAACGTTATCTCGTATAAATGTTGCAGGATCTAATAAACAGATCATCCGACTCGGCTGACGTCAACAAGACTTCTGCTCATGAGAATAAAAAAGAGACACGTAGCAGCGACCGAACGAAAAAGAAGTCCTCTTGGTATAATGTACTCTATCCGACTTATAAGTCTCGCTCCGAGGACTTTAGGCGAATATTTAAAGACGTGCCTGACGATGAGAGATTGGTGGTAGGTAAGTATTGCTTTAAGAGTGTCCTCCCTCCCTCTCTCTTTCCTTCCTTTACACAGAGGAATGTACTATGTAACATTTTGTTCCCTGCGAGACACTTAACTCAATTTCTCTCTTTACGTCTACTTCCGCGTGACCACAAAACGCGATACTTAACACTCCACGATTTTAATTAATCTGCCGTTGTGACTTTTAGATTATTCTTGCGCTCTGCAGCGTGAAATATTGGTACACGGTAGACTTTATGTGTCTCAGAACTATGTGTGTTTTTATGCTAATATATTTATGTGGGAGACGCTGGTCTCCCTACGCTGGAAAGACGTTACATCTATTACCAAAGAAAAAACTGCGCTTGTCATTCCAAACGCTATCCTGATATGCACCGTTACTGACAAGTTCTTCCTAACATCGTTTGGAGCGAGAGATAAAACATATGTGATGTTGTTTCGTGTTTGGCAAAATGCTCTTATTGGCGAGGTATGCGTATATCGTATGGCCGCGGCCCACATTAGACGATTCGTGTGTGTGACTCAGAGTTCTATTTGTTACCTTTGTATGCGAGTAACCCGCAAAAAACGTTGCAAGAATCGTGCATGTACACAGAACGCAGGAATTGCAGATCGTCTAAAGTGGGCTTGACTTTATTTTACTATAAGATTGTACCCTTGTCGGAGAAAATTGTTTATTTATCTCGAAAAATATTCCTGTGTCGAGATGTTAAAGAAAAAAAAAACTAATAGTTGTCGCAATATTTTAGAACGACATTGCATAAAGAATTTGGTGTTTTTTAATAATAGCATAGTAGAGATACACTTTGAGCGAGACTATGCAGTAAGATCCCGGCTTTGTGCTGTCCTATTCAATCGTTTCGTTGTAGCGCGTTTCTGCTAACGCCTGGTAAGCCGATATTTTCTTCTTGGAACAACTCTGATAATTCCGAGAACACCTCGGCTACTATTACCTTGATAACACTGAGAATACCGAGTGTGCCTTAGTAATTCGGTGCGCTTCAAACAAGGTACAGTTCGATTATTGCGTGCGGTGCGTTTGTACCTGTAGAGTCTGGATAGGATTCAATATTTGGTTTCATTACTTCGGTACCGTTTCCAAGAGTCCGCACGTGTGAGCATTAATCGGGGTCTTATTGCAGAGTGAAAACACGAATGTCGTACTCTTAGAATGCGTGGTTTTTTTTCCAAAGATTCTGCTATTGTGCTATATTTTCAGCCAATGAGTATGGCTGAAATGTGGCAGCTTGTACATACCTGCTACGGTGATGAATTAGGCTTGACATCCGACGACGAGGATTATGTGCCGCCGTTACCCGCGGCAGACGAGGAAAAGCTGTCAACTCGCCTCTCTGTAGAGTCCTTCTCCGAGGTAGGTCCGACGACATCTGTGAATGTTAAACGCAAGTGTGTTTCGATTATGTCATTGTACTGTTTGGAAGGTTAATGGTTTCGTCTCTCTTTCTCTGTTGAAAAAAATGTTTATGTTCAACAGAACCGTGATGGCAATGTTGATTAACAGAAGTTATCTAAAACTGATCCAGATTGTGCTTTACAAGCAAATTTACGACAAATTTCTTGCATTACAACCTAATATGTTTTAATTGATCCTGCGTCTCGTACATTAATGTACTCTCAACACAAATTCAGGAAGATAAACTAATGTATCTATGTATAAATTGAAATCTGCGTACGAGACAAAAATGTTCAATTTCTGAAGATTAACATTCTTTTCAATTTCCGTTTAACAAACATGAAGACCGAAGCAGTCGCTATGGAAAATTCAACGTCTCTACCTACGGAGCCCGCTTCCGCGGAATCTGCTCCGACTACGGAGCTTCAGGTTCAGCCACCAACTCCGTCAATACCTAAGCCGGAATCTGTTCTCGATCCAACGGATTTAAGTGACACAACGGAAAGCGAAGCTGAGAAACATGGCTGTAAGTAGTCTCGGACCGTTGTTTAACTTAACGATAAAAAGTATCTTCTCAATACGAGAAGTTTAGTAAGTAATAAATGTATAATATGGAGCATCCACATTACCCTCGGGCTCTCTTGCAAATATTAACATTAAATTAATTTTTTTCCGGCAAACTAACTCTTAAATCGCTGACACAAGATGTTATAGTGCAGAAACGGAAACGAGATACGTCATATGACACTTTGATAAGAAAACGAGACCTGTAGTTTCTATCTGAAAAATAATATATATATATATATGTATATATATATATATAAATACTATCCAGCCTGTAGAATTATATTATAAATGCGACAGCACGTAACGCGATCATGATAATGCTTGTTCCAGTGAAAATGAATATACGGAGCACCATGGTCTGTACCTCCCTGCATGAAGGTCGGCAAGTTAACAAAGCAACATTGCCTATCTACATCGACCAGCTGTTCACTCTGCTCTTCACGAATTCGAAATTCTTCCTAGACTTTCATACCTCTCGCAAAACTACCGGTAACAAGATAAAAATTCCGTTATCACGTCTGCCACGTTAAAGAGTGCATCCACGCTCAGATTTTCCAAGTATACTGAAAAGCTTGTTTCGAAATCGTTTTAAAGCCACCATTTTTTAAAATTGAGATTATATATTATATAGCTTTTCCTTTTTTTCTCTCTCTCTCTCTCTCTCTCTCTCTCTCTCTCTCTCTCTCTCTCTCTCTCCCCCCCCCTCCCCCCTCTCTCTCTCTTTCTTTTCATAACTTTGTAATATAATCTCTGTCTTTTTAAATGTATATTTTAAGTGATTTGTAAAAAGAGACTTTAATTCATAGTTGCTAACACATTACGTTACGTTATTTATATATGTACATATGCACGTTACGTGGGATATAAATGATATAAATTCATTTCCGTTGCCTGCCACTAATGTTTTCGCTTGTGCAGATTTAGTACAATCTGCGTGGACGCAAAACGATGAAACTGGTCAAAAGATGAGAACCATCTCGTACACGATGCCCTTGTCCCAAGCTATTGGTCCGAGAACCTGCCACGTTACAGAGATGCAGGTAAAAAATTAAACCTTGGTGTATAACTTATGCTATCGTACACATGTTTTTCTCAATACGATATTTTGTACAGGTGATGTTGCCATGCAGCAGACCAGGTCATCTTTATTGCATCGATGTAGATTGCATTAACGCTGGTGTACCTTACGCAGACTCTTTCAGCGTCTCGACGCATTATTGCATGAGCAATATTTCCGAGAACGAGACAACTCTTACGATTTATTCACAAATCAAGTATAAAAAGAGCATGTGGGGTTTTATGAAAAGTAAGTCCTGAAATTAACAATTCAAAACTTAGAAAAAAGAGCGCTAGAGAAAAAGAGAGTGTTAAGTTCGAAAAAATTTCTACAAGGTTGCAAGTTGGATAAGGATTAAAAAATTGAAGTTATTGTTGCGGGTAAGACTCAGCATTGTGCGTCTTATCTGGAATCTTATCTGTTTTCCTGTTGCTGTACTTGAGACATCGGTTATTGTCCAAGAAACATAATCTTTAATCAGCTTGTGGGCGTAATGATTCCTTGATTTACACGTGAACATTGACTTTTTATAAATTTAATTAAACTTTTCAGTTCCTTATTTGTCAAAAGTTAGCGCTTCTGATATACACGATGTACAGGATGAAACATTGAGGAATAAATGGCGTATTTTCCTTATGACAAAAATAGGTGTGATTGAAAAGAATTGTTGGGCGGGCTTGGAAGATTATACCAATAGTTTGATAAAAGCGTTGACATTGGAGAGCGAGGAGGGCACGGAAAGCGGAGGTATAAAGCGAAAAACGAGAAAGCGACGACGCGCGACGGGTGTAGGCGCTACATTGCAGACACACGCTTCCGAGCACATATCCGCGAATCATCAAATTTCTCCCTCCAACTTGCCACATGTTCACAGTAATAATACAATATTTTTCTATTACACTTGCAACGTTGCATGTATCGCGTGCATTCAATTTACATATTTTCTTTTCCACACAGCTGCTAATGCTAGAGGCGATACCAACATAATTCTCAGCTCAATGCTGCTAGTCGCTGTATTATGTTTAATGGTGATTAATGGCTTGTTATATTATAAACTCTGGGGGCTGGAAGAAACTGCTGCGTACACCATTATGGACTTACACGTACTCAAGTACGTGTTATCGATGTTTTTTTTTTATGCATAGGAAGATACCGTTCTTTCACACATATATTACAATATGCGTTCCTGCTTTCAGAAATACGCCAAAGACTGAAGAAGATTGGATTAACCTTTTGCAACAGCAGGAGAGCTTGCACAATGTGGAGATGAGAAAATGGCAAAGGGTTTTGCACACAGCTGCACAATTGCTTAGACAAGTAAGGCTCAGACGATGACTTGAAAAGAGAACGATGAAATTAACGGTACAAATATCGAATGCGGAAAAATTAGAGTCGCAACATGCAAAACTATTAATTATTTAGTTGAGACAAATGTTTTTTTTTCATGAATCTAAATCTATATATTTTCTATAGATTTTTTGCATATAGATATCGTAATTTCTTAATGTCCTCTCTGTAGATTTCTCTTAGATTGGAACGCTAAGTAGCTCGAAATTTAGCCAAATAATTTTTCCGCCCATCCCATACATTTTACAAATTGCTCCTGACATTCACAATTTTGCTTGCTTTAAAAGACAGAAGAATCGTTAACGGAGCTACAAATGAGCATTCATCCCACCGCAACGGAAAAGATGTTCTCAGTATTAAAGCCGAACTTAAAGAGTCTCAATACTCACACGGAACGGCGAGGCAAAACGGAAATGTAAAAATCTAAGTACATTAAGCAATCGTATGAACGTATTTTGTGTATAAAAAGAATTTGCAACTTATGGATAAATCCTTATGCGCGATAGCGCTTAGGTGCTATCATTATGTGTATGTATTCTTCCTATTATTATTTTAAGTTTGCGATTGTTCTCTATATGCTATGTGTACAGAATGAATCTACTATGCTATAGTTAATATTTACTATATAGTTATAATGAATGTGTAAACGCGCTTTCTATCTAGACATTGTGAAATAATGTTATGGAGAAATAATAGATAATTTTTAGAACAACCCTTTGTGTTGGGAACGAGATTCTTTGCACTTTTCCAAGAGCGAGTGCCTCTTAACGTAACATTCGCAGGATTGGTGTAACGTGAAAGAACGCCTGGGAACAGACTAAGTATTTAGTTATTTAATCAAAATCAAATCGGATAACAAGGACGTAACATTTACAAAATGCGCACGTGGAAATATATCCCGGAAATTTATTTGTCCTCTGGTTTATTGAATACAAGCGTGTATCCACATTTGCCGCAGTAATGACGGTCTTCCATGGCTGCCATGAATACACCGGCGCCGCACTGCTCCATGGGGCATTCCCGTCTCAAACGGTGGATCTTTCCGTTCTCATCTACCTGCAAAACCATTTCCCACGCTCGATTTGAGATGTACCGTTGCGGTAAAAATTATAACAGAAATGGAAAAATAGGGAAGCTCGGTAACGTAGATCGAAATAACGAAGATAATTTACCTTGTAATACTTGAGCACGGCAAGCTTGACCTTCTTCTTCTTGTGCTTGATTTTCTTGGGGGTGGAATAGTTCTTCTTCTTGCGTTTCTTGGCACCACCTCGCAGGCGCAGCACCAAGTGCAAAGTGGATTCCTTTTGAATGTTGTAGTCCGACAAAGTTCTGCCGTCCTCCAACTGCTTACCGGCGAAGATCAGCCTCTGCTGATCCGGCGGAATTCCTGAAACGGTTAAATATCTCGCTTAGAAGTTGAAAAGTAACTTATATTTACATTTTTATCTATTTATTAAACATTAATAAAAATTCATGACATTCACCGTTTTGTTTCGTCTACAAAACGTTTCTCAGATGCTCGGACCAAACAGCCAATTTTTGTCGGATGAAAATACAAAGGTATCGACAAACCTTCTCTATCTCGAGCGAATTAACAGTTGATTCTCTCGAGATAGGAGACAAAATAACGTGTTCTTGGAAATTAAATTTTAAACAAGTCAACAGACTGCAATATATTTTTTAAGGTCTTATTTGATGATCAACTTAGCGCAAACTGATTATCCTCCAAGATCGATTCATCTTCGGCCTGTCGGAAAATTGCCCTCACCTTCCTTATCCTGAATTTTCGCCTTTACATTTTCGATCGTATCCGACGCCTCGACCTCGAGGGTGATGGTCTTCCCCGTAAGAGTCTTCACAAAGATCTGCATGGTCAGCGGTTCTACAACATGTTACTTTAATTATAATGTATTTTAATTGGCCAAAAATTAAAATCCCGCAATTGATTTCGAGGAATAACTAAAAAGACTGCGGATATTGAAATACGTTCCACAAATTTATTTCAATTTCAAAAAATAATAAATCTAGGGGATACTAAATTTTAAATATTAATGTTTAAAGCAAACTATTTTTTCTTAAAGAACCTTACACAAATCTGAAAACCATTCAAAAATATGTGTAACGTTAATATCAGGATTGTAGTCTGAAATGTGGAGTGTAGAATATTCGCTGGATAATCTTTTTTACAAGTTCTTTTTTGAGGAAATTCCCTAATTGCATCGACCGAGAATATTTCTCAACAGCAATTCTGAAGGACACCATAACTTTATGGTAAACTGAAGACGTGCAAAAGTATAATTACTGAACAGTGGAAATACCTCAATATGTCATAAACGTCATAAAACATATTTCACGGAAGGAAATTAGTTTTCATATCTTTTTAAGCGTTTTACCGCTTTCGAAAGTATCCACGAAGTTCCGTGCGCGACGCAAATGTCTTTTTTTTTCTCTCCCCGTGGGTTTCCACCGGGGTGGCGAACCCACGAAGAGAGGTTAGGCGAACAGAAATGGAGGCTACTCGACCGACGTATCGGTCAAGAGTGCGAAGCGTCAACTCTTGGGCTCGTTCGAGTATCGTCCCGATCGTGCGCGGCTACTTGCATGGCAAATCGCGATCGCATGCGATCGCTGCAACACTGCTCGTTTAATCATAAACATGCGTGGCGCAAACCGCCGCAAGACTGTCTCGGGAGCACATTTGTCGCGCTTTAGCCATGTGGCTCGCGGATACTTTCGCCGCGTTGCGGACACGCGGCAACGTGGGACACCGTGAATCGGAAATCTCGTACGTCCGACGTGACCGAGCGCGAAAAGAAATACGGCGGCTTCGCGCCCGAACGCGTCTCGCTGTGCTAAATTGTGTAAAATCGAGACAGAACCTACCTCCGACCACGCTGTTAAAGTGAAAAAGACCGAGAGGAACTGTGGGGAAAAACAGGCCGGGAATATGCTGTACACGTGACCCGCCGACGCCAATGAATTTTTCGCGACGCCGGAAATTCGACGGGGCCCCAACAGCGACATCTGGCAACCGCGAAAATTACTCCGCCGAAAAGCACGAAGGTGATTGGCCATCCCGCTAATCATTTCTATCTTGTCCATTTTAATCGATGCAGATTAAGCCCGCTGCAGACGATACTATTTTTTCTACTGGATTGCTTGCAATCTAATAAATTATTATCGTTGCACCATTCAGCACTCAGGATTCCTAGTAATTTAGTAAATCGCAAGCAATCCAGTAGGAAAAATAGCATCGTCTGCAGCAGGCTTAAGCCTTGGAAGCTTTCCAGCAAGCGACACAAGTCGACACAAGTGTCGTTCTGTCTTTATTATTCATTGAATGCGAAGAAAGACAGAACGACATTTGTGTCGACTTGTGTCGCTTGCTGGAAAACTCCCCTTGTGTCCACGATTCAAGAATTGTGTCCAAGTT